ATTTGTGTTGGTTTCTTTCTTCTCCTGGGATCCCGGTGGTCCTACAAACTTGGGGTTTTAGTTCCTTTAGTTAACTGTTTAATTCAGGAATTTCATGTTTAAAACTTACATACTGTTAACAGTTCTAGGTTTGATTTGCTGTCCAAGACCTAGTATTAGTATCAAAACAAGCTAGCTTTTGTGTGTACTTATTGACATCCTTTATTTTTTCAAGTTTCAGCTCCCTGTTTTCAATTATTTTTGTTTGTTTTAATCCTGTAATTCCTTGTTCTTATTTGAGCTCTGTAATGCTTTTAAAATGTTTGTTGTGATTTTTTTTATTACATGAGGAAAGATCTTTCTAGTATCCCATGTATCCTTCTTATTGCAAATAGAAGAAATCCCTTTCTCTATTTTTATACTTTTATCTTTTTTTCTTAAATTGAAGCATTATAGTTATACATAACACATGTTTTTTTGTCACATATTTGGACATGCTTATTTTCATCTTTTGAAACTTTTCTTTCACTGTGTGTTTCAGCAGAGCCAAATTACTTGATGTAGTTTAGTATGTGAATTTGCCATCTTCTTTATTAGTAATACCTTTGTGCTAGTTGCATAATTGATTTTCTTTTGTCATTCTTTAATATGTAATCCAAATACAAATGCAATTTATGTTTTGAAACATTATTGGAATAAAACTACGGATGGATACCGTGATATCACTGACATTTGGGTGTAACTCTGAAAACACATGCACTGTAACAAAGCTCCTTAAAAAAAATCTGCCTTCTCTTTTAGGTTATGCACATTTTGTAGCTATGACTTATTTATTTTTCTCCTCTTGTTTTTTTTTCCTCCTCCTTCATCTTCATTTCACATCACTTGTGTTTTACATAGTACAGAATACCGAATAGATATTAAGAAATGCAGTGAATGAGTAGATTCTACTTCCATATGGTTGAAGTAAAGTAAGAATCCTATTGTGCATTTGAGGTGGTGCTATATACCGTGTTAGCAAGCTTCCCATCATGTCAGCCAGGAAGCAAAAAGAAAGGAAAGGTTCAAGGTCCCAATATGCTTTTCAAGGAAGGCTCCCAATGACCAATCTTACTTCCACTAGATAGTGCCTCCCACAGGTTTCACCACCTTTCAATAGCACCACAGACTGGTGGCCAAGATTTTGCTCATAGGTCTTTGGAGAAGCCTTACAATCCAAGCCATCATGTTCCAAAAAGAGTCATGGTCTCTCTGAGTCCTGAAAACAGGAGAGTTCAAGAGTAAAAATTTGTCAGGGGAACGGTTTCATAACTCTCCTTTATTTCTCAGTCAGGTGAATAGAAAACTTCAGGGATTGCAGCCACTTAATTACTTACTTAAAACAATATTACTCTACTCACAAAGCACTATTCTGCAGAAATTTGTATTTTTATGTAAATCTCCTACAGGTAAAGGCATGAAGAGTCAAGTGGACATTATAGTCTCATCCTTTTAGACTTTTTTATGTTAAATTATAAATATGTATTGTAAATTTGCCTGTTCTGATAACAAGAATCTGACATCAGGGTCAAGTGAAAATGAAATTTCTGAGTGTGTAAAGTTGTTAATCATACTTTATACTTAAGGTAACCTCACAAAAGTAATTTTTTCATCTTTATAAAATAGTACCTGATATAATCAAGTAGTAAATTTCTAAGTTTTAAAAGCAACAACATGTTTTCTAATGTTATATATGAAGTATCAAAGGAATCACAATTTTTTTGCTTATTTTTTAATTGATTTTTTTAAAAAATGACAGCAGAATGCATTACAATTCTTATTACACATATAAACCACAATTTTTCATATCTCTGTTTGTACATAAAGTATGCTGACACCCAATTCATGTCTTCATACATGTACTTTGGATAATGATGTCTATCACATTCCACCTTCCTTGCTAATCCCCTGCCGGCTCCATTTCCCTCCTACCCCTCTTCCCTATCTAGAATTCATCTCTTCCTCCCAAACTTTGGCAAAAATGTGGAGATGCTTTGTCTAGTTGGTATTTGAGCCATGTAGGATTTTCTCTGTTTTTATTTTTTTTTAAATCATATAAGATCTATAAAATATATCCTACTGTTGCTGCGCAATTTAGAGACAAGGCTGAGACCTAGTATGACTGGGAGACAGTATTCAGAGTTGGGAGACAAATTGCAAATATTACTGGAAGCCTGACTTGAGCACTTACAATGGAGAGACTGAAATGTCTTTGTAAATGAAATGAATAGTCATGACAGAAAAAAGTATCTGTTCAGTCCATAATGCCACGGGTCACAACCGAGGTCAATGGAAACACAAGGCAGAGCCAGAAGGTGACAGAGACATTTTCCTTAGCTATTATTGGCCAATGTGTCAACATTTCCCAGTGAGGAAGTTTAGAAATCGGTGCCAAAGATCATATTAGCCCTGAACTTTATTAAAAATACACATGCAGTCATGTATGTATTTGCACTGAAATTAAATGTTTAGAAAATTATATTTCCTACCATTAAAGAAAAAGTTTTAGGTTTTTTGCAGAGTTCTGAGTCAAAAAGTAACTCTGGGTATTTTAAACTGAGTTGACTGCATAAGGAAAGAACTGAAAAGAGAATTTCAAGCTAGAATAAGTTGTTTTTTAATTGGCAGACTTGGTAAGTAGCATGTCTCTTATTTAAATATTTCTGTCTTAGTCTGCAGACCTAAGCATCCAGTGCGACCTGGATATCTAACGGAGACACCAAATATCCTCTCCTATCAAACCTGCTTCCTTCATATTCCCATTCCAGCTAATCTATGGAAATTCTTTCTTTCCAGTTGTTCATACCCAAAATCATTGAGCTGTATTAAATCTTCCTTTTTTCATACCCCACATCTAAACTGTCAGGAAATCCTACTGGTTTTTATATTCAAAATATTCCTGCTCTCTGATGACTTATTATCTCCACTGCTGCCACCCATGTCAAAGCCACCATCTTCTTTCATCTGGCTCATTGCAACAATCTTTTAACTGCGCTTCTCATTCCGTCCTGATTTATTGACAGTTTTGCAAACCCTTAGAACAAAAGCATATAGTAAGTGCTCTATAAATACTGGAAAAGTTAATGAATGAATAAATAGAATGTTTTTATTTGTTGTACCTTATGTAACCATCAGCCCTTGTGGTGTTTCTAAATGCTTCTTCCTCACCACTCAGGTATTACAGCAAATTATCTTTAAAATTTTTCCTTAACAGTCATTATGAACAATTTCATACACACAGATATAAAGTAATGTCTGTACAGTTTGTATAAAGTGGTAAACATTTAGAAAATAAAACCTCACTGGGATCTTTGAAGTTTCTTATTTATTTCTTTATAATTGTATCCTTTTTTTCCCCTCAAAAAGCAAAAAATTTGCTGTGCTGAATTTTTGTTTGCTATTCCTAAACTTTTTTTAGTAGTTTAACCATAGGCATATGAAAGTCTAAAAAATAAAGTTTGTAAAGTTTACCTCATAGAAATGGAATCATCCTTGGGGCTGGGGTTATAGCTCAGCGGTAGAGCTCTTGCCTTGTACTTGTGAGGTACTGGGTTGGATCCTCAGCACTACATAAAAAATAAATAAATAAAATAAATAAAGATATTATGTCCATCTTTAAAAAGAATAAAAGAATGGAATTATCTTCAAACATCAATCGTTTCCCTGCAAACTTGCCTATTTTTTTAATTTACTACCTCTGTGTCCTATAGTATGCAACTTAGTGAATGCAAGAACTTTCCAAAGGATATAATTCTATGGGTTAAAATTGATCTCTTATAAGAAAGTTATAGGTATTCCTTTCACACCTCTTTTAAAATATCCCTTCTTTCCTTTACAAAAGAAAGACCATGTGCCAATGTTATACAGTGTCAAGACCTTCAGGCAGTCTACATAGGTGCAGTTAAAACACTGTACTCAAGAAAGTGAATTAACTTTTGTTGATATGAATTGTGAAGAGTCTGAGATGTTACCCCCCTTGACCAATTTTTTATATCTCTATCTACATATGTGTGCATGCATGTGTGTGTTTGTGCACATACTTAAACACACACACACACACACACGCACGCACGCGCACACAAACACACATGCACCCATACAGGCTGAATCATGAGACAACTTCCATACCAGAAACAGACTTTTAATTATTCCAGAATATCTTGCTTCAGTGCCCCCTGAGGAGACATAATGACTAGAGATGTCACCTGAGCATACAGTAGAGTTCATACCACAGGAGAGAAACCCTGAAATTATAAACCTAAAAGCTTATATATAGCAGTTGGTACAGTTAACTCTATTGAACTCAGGAGACAGAGACAGAGATTGCTATAGCATAAATCTTAAATGTCCTCCAAAGATTCATATGTTAAGGACTTCATAGCCAGGATCATGCTATTGTAGATTGTGAAAACTCAAGAAGGTAGAGCCTTCTGGGAAATCCCTCTATCATTGCGGCATATCCTAAGGGAAACTATTAGGACTTCAAATTCAAAGTTGTTTTCTGCTAACTGGCTCCTGAGGTGTGTGTTTTGTTCTGCCACATGCTCCTGCCATAAAGGACTATCTTATGCATGGTGAGAGAGGAGTTTAATTTCATTTTGTTGCATATGGATTTCCAGTTTTGCCAGCACCATTTGTTGAAGAAGCTCTCATTTCTCCAATCTATATATTTTTGGCACCTTTGTCAAGTATGAGATAACTGTATTTATGTGGGTTTGTCTCTGTGTCTTCTGTTCTGTACCATTGGTCTACATGTCTATTTTGGTGCCAATATCATCTTGGTTTTTTTTGTTACTATTGCTTTGTAGTGTAGTGTAAGGTCTGGTATTGGGATGCCTCCTGCTTTACTCTTCTTGCTAAGGATTACTTTGGCTATTCTGGGTCTCTTATTTTTCCAAATGAATTTCATGATTGCTTTTTCTATTTCTATAAGGAATGACGTTGGAATTTTAATTTTAATTGTATTGCATCTGTATAACACTAAAAATATGGAATGCTTCACGAATTTGCATGTCATCCTTGTGCAGGGGCCATGCTAACCTTCTCTGTATCATTTTAATTTTAGTGTATGTGCTGCTGAAGTGAGCAGTGGATTTACTTGTGTATCACCTTGCTCTACATTAATCTTCGTGAGCTTTAGGTTGGGACATTTATTTTGTTATCTCCAGGGCCTAGCACAATATCTGGTTGACAGTATGCATACAGTAAATGTTTTGTTAAAGGAATATGTACAGCAAGAGTAGAAATTACACTTCACTGAAATAGTTTGGAAGTTAGAGAGGAGTCCCAGAAGAGGTGGCAGTTATATTGGACTGAGAATGAAAATTATGAGTGATTAATAGGATGTTCATGGGTGGAATACATTCCAGAGCGGGGCAGAAACAATTCAAATTTCTTTCCTGAAAAATAGCTATACTGTATAAGAAATTAAAATGATAAATTTGTGTTTCACCTCCATTTTTTATTCTATTTGTGTTTTGGAAGAAATATTGAGGGAGAAGGAGCCACAATAATGGCAAGTAGGTCAAATTCTGCTCCATTTTTGTCTAGATCCAAAGAAGGCATTCCATGAAATCTTGTTCTTTCATCCTTTTTTCTTAAAAACAAAAAAAGGAGAGAGAGAGAGAGAGAGAGAGAGAGAGAGAGAGAGAGAGAGAGAGAGAGAGAGAGAAAAAAAAAGAAGGAGGAGGAGGAGGAGGAGGAGGAGGAGGAGGAGGAGGAGGAGGAGGAGGAGAAGAAGAAGTAGTAGAAGTAGTAGTAGTAGTAGTAGTAGTAGTAGTAGTAGTAGTAGTGGTGGTGGAAGAGGAGGAGGAGGAGGAGGAGAGAGGAGAGAGAGAGATCCATGCTACGGTTCACGTAGATTAATCTTTAAGAGAATTTCACATGAAGATGGATTGTTTTTTATAAATAAATGTTATTGACATCATAGGTTCAGCAGTAGGTACTAAATAATGAATCAACAGCTCAAAAGCCTTAATAATAGCAAAACAACCACCAGCTGAACCAGAAAGTTATTAAAATGGCATCATGCTCACATCTCCAATTAGTTTACCTACATATGTGATCAATTAAGTTAGATCCTCAAATTAAATCCCAATTATGTTTGTTTACTTCTCTTTAAGAGATATTCAGTGAAGTCCAACTGGAAAATCAGACATTCATTTTTTTCCTTAGGCGCTTTTTAGCAACATTTTAATTAGAAAAAAGTTTAGTTACTTGATAAAAATAATTAAAATGTCCATAAAAATCTACTTATTTTTGCCATTCTTTAAGCTCTTTTCAGGCATCTAGAAGACACCATACATGAAAAAGGGGCCTAAGCTTGCTTATGTGACTTTCAATATCAAAACATTATTATTTAGTTCCCCAAGTCCCTATAGAATAAGCTTCTAGTATTTTAGTGAAAAAATAGACATGCCAGAAATTGTGCCAAGTATAGATGTATACAAACTTATGGAAAAGCAAATGCTCTGTACCAATACTGAGGATTCTTTATCAGCTATCTATATTCTCTTTTTTATGGACATTTGAGTTATGCTAAAATAAATTTAAGGAAAAAGAAGTAAAAAGGCAGCTATAATTAAACTCATAGAATACACTAACACTTAATAAAAGTGTGAATAAATATTCTCACAGTACCGTAACCAGGAATCATATTGAGAAGGGCCCTATTGTCTGACCTCACAGCTTGGGGAGTCAAAAGCCCCTGAATTTTTCTGACTTTGGAATCCCACAGCAATATCACTGTACTAGCTCAGCAGGCAGCAGCTCTGAGAGTCAGGTCAGAGTGGCTGAGGGACTATGAAACAAACTTCCTGAGATTTCTGTGTGGTGGGAAACTGGACTACAGTGTGTGGGAGAATGCAAGGTGTTTCCCTTTGGAATTTGTGGTTCACTGGGCCAGCTACTGGAGTCCATGGAATGAGCAGTCATGAGTGACTGCATGTTGAAGCCGTGGCTGGGAACACCCGTATTGTGGGATCACATGGAACCCACTGTTGCCCACCCCCTCACCCCCCACACAGATCTTTGAGACTTTATAGCCCCTCTCTGCCCTTAGGGACATATGGGGTTACACTGCTCAACTGATGCTACCCCAGACCTCTGAGTGTGTATCACAGAATCTCTGGGAAGAATCTTTGGAAGTTCTGCATTTGACCCTAGCTCCTTTGACATGCTATAGCATCAGTGTCTCCCCAGCTGTCTCTGTGTGTAGCCCAAATAGTTTGGAGAGAATGTCTATCTGGGGAGATCTCCATTCAACCCTAGCTCATTCCAGTGTGCAAAGCATCTGAAAGGTATTCCAACTGCCTACAGCCACAAATCATCCCTGCTAATCACCCCATGAGTACCACAAAAGAATATAGATGAGGGTGAATAACAAACACCTTGAATCTTCTCTGTCTGAGGGACACACAGACTAAAAGACACGGAGAGAAGCTTTGATAGTTACAGGTCAGAAATATGCATTCTTGCCTATTCATTCTAGCACCTTAATGGAGAGAAAATTTTTACTTTTTCAGAACATTTTTGTTGTTGTTGTTACTATTTTGTGTTTGCTTTTTTCCTTTTCTCTTTTTTAGAAATATTGAATCTCTCTTCTTTCTTTTCTTTTTTTTTCTATTTTACTTTTCCCTTGTTTTCCTTTTTATTCTCATTTTATTTTTTTATTCTTTATTTTTCCCATTTTTTGCTTTTATCCAGTTTTTCTTTTTTTTCCAAAAATTAATTTTTTAATCTTTTATTTATTTTGCTTACTATTTATTTCATTTTATTTTACATTGTTTTGCCCCTTTCTTTTATGTTGTCTGTGGTATTGCTATCACTGTTATTTTTATTTGGTTATATTTTTATTTCTCTATTCATTTCTTTTTCTTTTCTTGAATTCTTCCTTTGCAGTGCTGGGGATTGAGCCTGACCCTTCATGCCCAGTTTGAAGGTGATCTGCCACTGGACTCTACTGTCAGCCCAGCTGAGAGGAGTTTCAGTTGGCCTCAGCCAGGATCCAGTTCTGCTTGAACCTTGGCTTATACATCAACTTAAAAACAGGGGAATAAAGGTCTCTAGTGATAACCCATGTCAAAGTAGGCACAGCTGGGAAGGAATTTGAAATCCCACTCCTGGACACTCACCCCATAGCAGTAGCAAAGAGAAATAGCACAACTTTTGAGAGAAACCACATTAGGGAGTTTATCTCACCCTGGTCAGAAAGGTGAAGATTTTTTTTTTTTTGTGTGTGTGTGTGTGTGTGTGTGTATATATATATATATATATATATATATATATATATAATTTTGCTGGCAAAGGATGTGAAGAAAAAGAATTCTTATATAATGTTGGTAGGACTGTAAGCTAATACATCCACTATGGAAAATAGTATGGAATTTCCTCAGAAAAGTTAGAACTTCCATGTGATCCAGCTATTCCAGCTATGAAACTTCTGGTTATATAACTGAAGGAAATGAAAGTAACAAACAAAGGAGATGCTTGCACACTCGTATTTATATTCACAATAGTGAAGTTCTGGAACCAGCCCAGGTGTGCGTCAACAAATAAATGGATAAAGAAAATATGATATATATTTCTATATACCCTTACTATACTGAAAAAAAATATATACACACACACACTATGCTGAAAAAAATATATATATATTTTCCCCCACCCCCAGTGGAGTGTTACTCAGTGATAAAGAAAAACAAAATCCTGTCATTTTCAGGGAAATGAATGGAACTGGAGGGCAACATGTTAAGTGAAATAAGCCAGACACAAGAAGACACATATCACATATTTTCTCTTATATGTGGAAACTTAAAGGGGTGGGGGAGAAGGAGGGAGGGTGAAAGTGAACTGAAAGTAGAATTATTAGGGAAGAAGAAAAAACAGGGAGAGAAAGAGCAGGTAGAGGGAAGGTGGACCTGATCAAGGCAATTTATGTGTGTATATAAATGTTCCAGTGAAATCCATAACTTGTACAATTAATATTTCAGTAATTATAATAAAAATAAATTTAAAAATGCAATCACAAATAAAGTGTCCAATAATATAAAAGAGTATGTATTCTCAGATTCAAATGTAAATTATAAAACTTATGCAACTCTTGTATGCCTTATTAACAATTAATATTAACTCACTAAATACATTATTCTTTTATTCAATAAATATTAAAAACCCATTATGTGCCCTGCTCTTTTGTATTTTCTGTGTATAGAACCCTTGATAGAAGCTTTCAGGAATGAGAACACCCATGACACATTTCTTTCATTAAGGAATCTTCCAATATAGGGTACATATGGCAAAAGCATGCAAAAACTATATTCCGAGATAGAAATGGATTGGTCATAAGAGATACACTCCTATTTCTTCTTATTATTATAGAGAATCTGTGTGGGAAGTTTATTCTCACAAGGATAGTCAGAGACTGAGAATCCATTATACAGAATTTGATCATTTCTGTCACACCCCACTAGCATGGAGTCAAGGGGCCCACGGGAAAGAAGGGGAAACACCGAGGTCATGGATACCTACTCCAAGAACTTTCTCACAGAACTCATTCAAACAGCCTGCCCTATCTTTAAGACTACTTGTACTTAGCAACTGTTAGGAGAACTTACAAATATAGAGACCTTAGGATTCATACTAACTGCTGCTGCTCATCATTCAGAGATTGTCAGATTGTAAACACAGAAAAGGCCAATGAACTTGTCTTCAAAATAACTTGCATAGATTTCTTTGTCCTTATAAAACTTCCAACTTTTCCTTTGTTCTCTGGACATAGCAGACACAGTGGCTTATGCATACATGTCTTCAATTATACTCTTGTTCTTTATTCTCAAGTAAGATTTCCTTTATTAGGAATTAATCTTTATATTTTAGCTTGATTTTGACATGGACTTATAATATACATGTTGTTGAGTTACAGCCTCATCTGAATACTGACAGCATTTTTCACATGAATGAACCAGAAACACTTCAAAGTTAAAACAAACAAATAAACAAACAACAATAACAACAACAACAAAAAACCAAGCCTGACGCAGTGGTGCACACCTGTAATTCCAGCGGCTCAGGAGGGTGGGACAGGAGAAT